AGAAGTCCTAAGGGGCAAGACCAGGGCTGTGGAATGGATGGGGTTAGAGTTCCCAGTGAAGTTCTCACAGGCTAGCCCTGGCTAGCTTGAAGAACAAGTAGGCACGCGCTCATGATCAACAAATAAATAAAAGTGAAAGTCCCCCGCAAACGTTTCCTAGACTTTTCCTCAGGAACGCAGTTTTCAATTCTTTTACAGCTTCTTCATAGAACATCCCAACGCCTGTCTTGTGTCCCTGAGGAAAATCTACTAAGAATACCCCTTCAGGACTCTCAAACCACAGTTGCCATACCTGTCTGAGCTAGCGTCTGCCTGGAGCTGAACCGGCCCGCACAGACCCCGGGAAGCCACTGGTTGGTTGGATCATGTTTTGAAGGCATCCTAATGCAGCTCAGTCAAGCACATGGCTGCGGGGACTTGTCTGCAGCCATACACCGATGGCAGAGACACGCTTGAGCATGTTCTGCTTGGAATAAACCCACGCAGGTTTGAATGGGAAACCACGTAGCAATACTTGTTTACTCATATGAATTTCAGTCCTTACAAGGAAGAATGAGTGCTCCATTCTGGGAAGGAGATTTAGACCAGGCGACTTGCTTACAGCCACTAAGCTCCTGGTAGAACCACGTTTTGAACCCAAGTGATTCTAAAGTCTGCGCTCTTCCTAGCATGCCACCCAAATTTTAACCAAGAAGTATGTCTTAACCCAGAGTGCTTCCATAGGCTGCCAAAAATGACCTGTCACTCGTTGTCCAGAAAAGCCAAGCGGGCACCAAACAAGAGGAAATTTAATACTGAAAGGCAGGTGGTGGTGGTGGAGGTGGTGGAGGTGGTGGTGTTAGAGGAGGTGGTGGAGGTGGAGGTGTTGGTGATGGAGATGGAGGTGGTGGTGGTGAAGGTGATGGTGGTGTTGTTGAAGGTGGAGGTGGTGGTGGTGAAGGTGATGGTGTTGTTGTTGAAGGTGGAGGTGGTGGTATTGAAGGTGGAGGAGGTGGAGGTGGTGGTGGAGAAGGTGGTGGAGGTGGAGTTGTTGTTGGAGGTGGTGGTAAAGGTGGAGATGGTAGTGGTGGTGGAGGAGGTGGTGGTGGTGAAGGTGGAGATGGTAGTGGTGGTGGAGGAGGTGGTGGTGGTGAAGGTGGAGATGGTAGTGGTGGAGGTAGTGATGGTAGTGGTGGTGGTGGTGGATCCTTGAGTTGCTACTG